GAACTGCGGGCTGCCCCCACTCTCCTGGCCTTCCAAAAAGGTGTAAAAACATGGCTATGCCAGATGGCCTGGGGGCCTGATGGGGGCTCGCATCACTGAAACTGGCTGGTGGGATGATTGATACTGCTCCCCCCCCCCCGCCCTCATCTTGAATTGTATACTGGCTTTTACAGAATTGTAACTTGTGATTTTAATTGGGGGATATTTATATTTTTATTGTTTTTACTGTCTTGGTTTTTAATTGTAAGCTGCCCAGAGTCACCCTCTGGGGTAGATGGGTGGCATATAAATTTAATAACAATAAATAAACAAACAAATAAATAAAAATAAAAAATAGTACGATGCCCTTCTCTGGTCCCTAGCCAGACATGACATTTTTCTCCCAGCCCCCTCTATCTGTAGAGGCCCAGATAAAGATGTTGCGTGTTACCTGGGATGAATATTAGGGTATTCCCTTCACCCCTGAAACTTCTAAATGCTCCCGAGATAAAGGAGAACCATGCAGCCATGCTAAATGCTAGGATAAATGCCAGTTACTCAGATGTTGCATATCCCTCAGTCAGAGCCTCCAAAAATTCTGCGGGTGGAGAGAGGTAAGAATGTCCAATGTTATTAGAACTGAAAAAAACAATACAGATCACTGAGAAGAGAGAGGCTTCAGTGAGACTGTGGCAGCCTCTGTTCCTTGCAGCCGGAGATAAAATTCCCTCTTTCATTTGGCAAATTGGATCTGGGTGGGCTAACAATAACTAATTTCATTTAGCAGGCTGGTCCCCAATAGTTGTTTGGGAAGCTTCCTTTAGCACTGTCTGTGGGTCTCAGCAGAGGAAGCTATGGGTTTACAGCAAAATAACAAAACCCTCCCTGATTGTCTGCTAGTCTCAGGGTTTGAAGTAAGGAAGATTAACACTCTAAAGTTAGGTAAGACTGCTGGGTATGATTATATCTTAGCTGAAATGTTGAAATCTAATGTTGATTGGTGGGTTCCTGGCTTAGCCTCACTTTTTTCATAGATAGACCAATCTGGCAATATATACCCTAGTATTGCGGAGTAGAATTAGTTGTCACAATTTTCCAAAAAGGGGAAAGGGGTGATCCTGTCAGCTATTGACCTATTAACTCCCTTATCATTTTCAGTAAGAGTTATGTTTGGTATTTAGAATGGAAATTATAAGAGTGGTTAGTGAATGAAACTATCCTAGGCCATGAACAGACAGTCTTCAGATCTGTTCATTCCACATTAGATCATATTCTAGTTTTATGAAAAATACCCTGAAGATGTAGTCTTCCTTTATGTGGCCTTTACTGACTTAAATCAGCATTTGATTTAATGTTGAGACCCCTTTTATGGGAAAAACCTAGGGATTCTAGAACTGATCAGCAATTGTTGGTTGCTATTCTTTATTCAGAAATTATTTATTTTATTTATTTATTATCAAACTTGT